AGAAGTCAACACAGGATTGAATGTTGGAGGACATTACTGTGACTTGGCAGGCTGGATTGCTGCCAAGCCTTATCTGGGTTTATTGCTGCCCAAGCTTGTCTGTGCCTGTTTGCTGCCAAGGACCTGTCTGTCTGTTAATTAAATGCCGTAACTTATCTCTGGCTCAAAGTGTGTGTTGGTGTGGGACGAGGGGGGTCAGAACAGGATCCTATATTTGTAGCTATGGTGGCTCAGTAGCTAAGATGCTGCATAACGGAGTGAGCTCCCATTACTTGTCCCAGCTTCTGCCAACCTAGCAGTTTGAAAGCATGTAAAAGTGCAAGTAGAAAATAGGGACCACTTTGGTGGGAAGGTAACAGTGTTTCGTGCACCTTCAGCGTTTAGTCATGCCAGCCATATGACCATGGAGACGTCTTCGGACAGCGCTGGCTCGTCAGCTTTGAAATGGGGATGAGCACCGCCACCTAGAGTCGGGAACAACTAGCACATATGTGCGAGGGAAACCTTTACTTTTACCTGTATTTGTAGCTAGGATTTGTTTTTCATTTTAAGTTAGTAAATGTTGCAGACTGTTTGGAAATAATGTTATAAACAAGGCCCTAATTTTCAGTATAGGAGACAAGATCAGACATGGCTATTAAGTTGGTATTATAGACAGCCATTTTTCAAGTTTGTTGAAAGGTAGTTATTCTATCTAAAACACAGTCAGGTTGAAACAGTAATTAGCAAAAATATTCAGTCAGTTACTCACACACTCTCAGTAGGCAGGCCAAGGTTCATTTGTGTAATCCATCTTTATTGAGGTTATCCGCTTCAAAGAGAGGATTGAGCTGTGGAATTTGTTTTTAAATGAGGAACAGCAAAATCTGTTGGATAATCAAATCTATATACGTGGCTAGAACTACCATAGTAGCATAGCTAGATCAGAGAGTTGTAGAATGGCATAATTTCCAATGATTAGGAGTCCCAGTTCACAGAAGCTCTGTAGAAATTCTTACATAGTTTCTACTCTTACATATTTCTACTCTTATTTCTAGCTAGATCTTCATCCACAAGTAACTGTGTATGTTTAAGCTAACGTTAGTCCACCTAACCATTTTCTGGGTTTAAATTCTCTGCTTCCTATACCTTCTGGATTTGGTCAGTAATTTAGTTAATCATTTAGTCCCAGAGGAATATTTCCGGCTACCCTAGAGAGAGCAGATCTAAGGGAATCTTCCATAAAGAATAATCAAGCTTTCAAGCAGTAACATCCTACTCCCTCTAAACAGCTATAGATCTGCTTTGAGATCAATGGGAATGGCACTGATTTCAATACTGTATCTTTGGGGAAGTTGTATCAAGGATAAGTCCTACTGAATTTAATGGGACTTATTTTTAAATTCTTTCAGCTTTTTAATATATAATGTAATATAAAAACTTCCAGACATAAGCAACGAGGTTTAAAAATTGGTGATCCACATGTCTTAACACTGGATAAAGAGCCCAATTAAATGAATCAAAAACGTGTGTGTGTTTGTGTCTGTGTGTGTGTATGTAAAAATTCAAAAAGGCTTACGAACTTGTAACACATTATTTTCTCTTCAACATCATTCATTTTTTAAAGCAGTGCTGCTGTTTTATCAAATGCAAATACAACAGAGATGTGAGCCCTGAGGGTAGTCTTATAAATTGGATTCACTATTCATATTGCTGTTCATACATATTTCTCTGTGCATATAGTAACAGAAAATCCAAAATAAAAAATGGATTCTTCTGCTAGAAAAAATTGTTGCGAACACCTTGGACTACTAGATGAATAAATAATTTAATACTAGATTAAAAAGAAGTAGTGTTTTCACTGGAAGCATGAATATTGGAGCTAGCTTAGGTATTTTGGACATTTAATGTGAAAAAAAGAGTTATTGAAGATGACCCTAACACTTGTAAATATCAACAACAAGTAAAAAAGCTTGACAGAAGATGAAGTAATTACAAACTGTTACTGATGAAACAAACATGAGCTTACAAGAACCTAAGCAATTACTCACAAATGAAACTAGATAATTGATGCTTGTTTGGTCATGAAGAATCAGACTTAATTGAACAAATGAGTAACAAATATATATTTAAGATCATGTGATACCCTAATGACTTAACTGATTTGCATATATCAGCAATAGTGTGCTTCCACAACATTGATACCGAATATCATGTTCATGTTCATTATCTTGTTATTTGGTCCTTCAGTTTAATCTCAAAGAAGAGATTTTGAGGAGATTCACAATTGGATATATTGCCGTTCTTAAATTTTATATAATCAGTTCTATTATATTTAGCGCAATATTGCAATTCAAGAAAGTCAATATATTGAACCATAGAAATTAAAAAGCTTAAAATGATTTATTATGATTTATTTTTAAAATAACATATACCTGTTTATGCTACCAGTGAATGATTTTAAACATACACAGCCTAGATGATAACTGGGTACAGCTATAGAAGCAACTTGCTGCAATGTGCCATGAATGTGTTTGCTCAAGTTCCATTCATTCAATTAAGACTTGTGTAAGAGAACTTTACAGTGTCTTGTGCCCTTTGTTTCATAGACTCCTAAAGGGCCCAGACCCAAACCCCTCTCACTTTAGAAGGAAAGTGAAGTTTTAGTCCATTCATGTAATGTGGCTTTAGCCTCTACTTGAAAAATACTCTGGAATCTTTGTATGGACACATGGCTTTAATGAAAAAAGCCAGCAAGATTAACAATTCGAATTTATTAATCTTTTAAAATGCTGCACTCTGCCTTTCATGCCAAGATTCATGAGTCATTTTATTGTAACATATGTCAACAGAGATGTAGCCCCATCTGCTGCTATAGAGCTGGTTCAGACACTAGGCACACAGCACAATGCTTACCTCTCAATAATTACAGGTGTGCTGTGAGAAAACGCAATGCATTAATCAGTCCAGTAATTATGGAAAAGGTGGGTCTTTTGTTCTGCCTTCAGAACAGGAGTTTACCAGCCACTTCATGACTCCAGTCTCCATCTGCTCATTCTTTTAGAATGTTTGCATTGACTGATACTGCCTTTAAATTGTAACATGGGAAGTGATTAAAACCAGTTTGAACATTAACTGAAGTGATGTTTCAATGGGGAAATGCTGTGTGTTGTGATGCTAACATTTATTTACCTTTTAGTCAATATTTGAGAAAAATCTGTTTCGTGTTTATTATCAGTGAATAAAACCGTAACGTTTTAGTCATAACGGAGTAAAAATTTTTATCTAATATTTCCTGAATATCAGTCTTATTAGAGAAAAAAACTCCACAAAACTGTAGGGCTTTTACAAATCCACAGTGGAAGCATAACATAGAGGAGGAGGAATGGAATTTAAATCAAAAATATTTTAATTTTTTTCTTTGATTTAAATTATTTTCACATGAAGGTTTTAACTATGAAGTTTGCCTCCTGTCTATTCTGTTTTCTACCTTTTTGTCTAATAAATTATTATTTTCTTTTGCCTATAGGGTTAGAAGAAGTAGCATTCCTTTTCCATTTGAAGAACTTGCCTTGAGAATAGTTATAGCATAAATGCAGAACAGAAGTGTTCTGCCAGATTATTAGATTATTTCCAACAGTCACTCTTGTTAAGGCAGGATCTGATCAGTCTTCTAGCAACAAACCCAAATTTAATCCAACAGACCATGGTATTCTGATTGTGGGAAAAGCAGACAGAGTTGGAAAAGCACTTCCATTTGACATAACACACGTCACATGTCATCTATAGCTCTACATTTGTGAAAGAAGCTGGAAGACTAATCTTCAAAAATCTGAAATAAGCCTTTCAGGTTTTAGACATCGGGGGAGAGCTGTGTTGGTCTATGGTGGCAAAAAAAGAGGAGTAACATCTCATTACTATTTCTATTGTTTATTTGGCAAAAAGTTTATTTATTGTGGTAGCTTTTTAGACATGGATGGGGGTGGGTGGAGGTGTCCTGCTACTATGGATTTCCTGCCTTTGGGTTTCCTTTACTAGACTGAGATAGGAGAACATAAGAAAAATATTGTCAATTAGGGTTGTGTTCCTTCTTATGTTAATACATTTCTTGCACCTCTGAACATTATTGGAATCTTATAGGTTCCCATTTTTTTATGTTTACTGTGTATTGCTGATATTTCCTCAGACAATATGTTATTTTGAAATGAGGATACATTCATGTGTACCAATAAAGGAGAATATTTGTAGCTCAGAGTTGAAATGAGGGGCCCTAGGTGGGACGCTTGGTGCTCTCTGAGCTTGGCTGTTTTCTTGCAGATATTTCATCACCCAAAGCAGGTAACATCTTCAGCATTTGGCTGATGATGTTACCTAGTTTGATAATAAAATATTTGCAAGAAAACAGCCAAGCTCAGAGAGCACCAAGGACCCTTCATGCATGTGTGGATTTTAAAATTCATATATAAATACTGAAAGAATCATTTTTAATATTGAAATATATTTACTTCAAAGTAGGCATTATATCTATATGTTTAACTTTCCTTTCCAAAATGAATATGATCTCAGCTGCCCATCTCTACCTGTACTCTACACATAACAGCCAGTTGTATTTAAAAAATAAACTTGGTTTCTTGCAGTATGCAGTACATTTGTCCTCATGAACCAGAGAATCTTTTGCCTATTACATAAGAAAAGGATACTGATTTTAAGGACAAATGAAAAATTCTTAACTTATTCATACATTCCATTGTTTCCCCTTTTCAGGATGTTTTGAACACTATCATCAAACACTGCTCCCCATTCTTTTTCTTTTTGCGGTTACCCGGCTTTACACTGCTAATAAGAGACTTCATAACAGCGACAACTAGAATTCTTAGTACAAACATGTTGGAGGTGAGTAAGTCAGCGTTCAGTGTACGATTGTTAACAATGTGCAGATTTTCTTACTCTTAGTAAGAAAAGAATCATTAGTGCAGTGTGACATTGGAGCAGAATTATGTTCGGATTTTTTTTTTCATATAAGAACTTGCCAAACATTTCAAATTTCAAGGTAGCAGTATATTTTTCATTATGATTTCTCTTTTCTGATTGACAGTATGAACTGATATCTTGTTGATCACTTCCCATTGTCAGTTACATAGCGAACTCATGTTGTTGAAGTAGGATATTTTTATTACATAATATTAAGTTGAATGCTAGGAAATGCAGTCTTTTTGAAAATAAATATAAGTAGAACAAACGAGCTTTCTAGATTTCATTTGTTTTAGCTATGAAAATAAATGATAATTTACTTGATTGAGATCTGAATATTTTTCTCATTTTTAATTCATTCATTTTCATGTTCGTGTTTCAATTTCTGATCTGGTCAGAAATTAATCACTTGTGCATTGAGAAAGATAAATTTTCAAAAATAGCAATTTATGCAGTCCGTCTTACATTTGCAGGTGCAATCTTTTGTAGTTGCAGAAGAGCATCTGGAAATGTTATGTCATTTTGATGAAAAATACCATTTAAAGAAAAAATGAATACTTTTTTTCCCTTCTGTATCATGCAGTTTAGTCAAACATATAAGGAATTAAAAAATTGTTCATTGAAAGTTATTTTCTGGTAACATTTTTTTTTCTTCCCTCAAATTATATTTGTTCCCTGAATTGTTTTTCTGAGTAATCAGTGGCTTACCAGAACAGCATGAGCAGCTCCTTTGTATAGCAAAAGTGTGCCTTGGGCTCTGGGTACAGAAAATCCACAACTTACAACTGTTCATTTAACAATGGTTCAAAGTTACAGTGATTTGGAAAAAAATACTTATGATCCATTCACAAAGTTATATCTGTCATACAACCCCCACAATAACGACCACAATTTGGGTAGTTGGCAACTAGCTTGCATTTACGATGATTGTAGCATCTTGTACTCATGTAATTGAATTTTGCAACCTTCCTAGCTAGCTTCTCACAAGCAAAGACAATTGGGAAGAAAGATTCACTTAACAGCCACTTTAAAAATGGTCATAAAATCAGGTCCAGTTTACATGATGATTCCCTTTATATTGCACTTATTTATGGTGGAATGTCCAGTCCTAATTGGGGTCCTAAGTCAAGGACTGTGATATCAGAAATTGGCAGTGGAATTCAATGTTCTGTTGATGTCTTCAAGCATCAAAGATTGAATATTCATGAATATTTATGTAATTAGAGATTTTGTTAATTACTGAAGCTTTCTGTTAATTCAAACCAATTTCGTTAAGAGAAGCAAAACATTGATGAATAAATGAAATGGTATCAAACTGTATCTGGAAATTGTGAATTTTTCCCTCTATGGTATGTTGACTGTTGTTGAAAATGTTCAAGGGAAGGGGATTTATGGACCCCAATCCTTCCTTTTGTGGCCTTTGGATGCTCTTCTAGTTATACTATCATTATATATAAGAGACACATCAAAGCTTTAGTGTTAAAGCTCTTCCTATTTTCCCTACAACATCTCTGTGAGGGTGGTTGGGCTGAGAGAGGCTGGCTGGCCCAAAGTCACCCAGCTGCCTGTAATGCCTAAGACAGTACTAGACTTCACAGTCTCCCTGTTTCTAATCACTGGCTTCTGCTTTGATATTACCATGATCTATTTTTTTTATTAATATAGCAATATAAACATATGCATTTGTTTGTTACAGGCTCCTCGCTTAGAAGCAAATACTATTCTTGGATCTCTGATTTGCTTCCCTAACCTTTACCAAGACATCTTAATGTTATCATCTGTTACTGAAGCAGGAATCACAACAGGAACTGCAGATGTCAAAGTAATTTTTTTTCTTTGTGAGCTGATCTATATGGTAATAGGTAGTCAGGCTGCCTTCCTGAAATAAGTGTTGCATTTAATATACTGTATACTGTGTGTTAGAGTGCCATGCAAATCCAACTTGTGCCATTCTCTTACTTTTAAATGATATAGAAAATGTTTTTTTTTTTAAAAATATTTGTGTTGAGGTACAAAAAGGAATTTAGATCTTAATGCACATGTGATAAACAGTTTATTGGCAACTTAGAGCCAGAATAGTTGTATCTTAAATGATATTTTAGAAATGGAAACGATGGGACAAAGGAGAACCAAAATGATTAAGGCATTGAAACAGCTACCCCTTGAGAAAATGCCAAATAATTTAAATGTTTTTTGGAATGAAATTGAATCAGGAATAGTATGGGGGGAAATTAAAGAAAAATTGTTTTGTGTGCATGCATATTTATCCTTCAGTGTTTAGTTTTATTTACTGAAACTAGTTTAATGAAATTATAAGACAAATAAAATAAAATATTTGTCAATGTAATATATAGTTAAGGCTTAGTGTTATCCAGTGGGTTTGGGATATAAATCAGGTTAAAATTAGGGTTAGGGTTAGAGTGTGAGTATAGATATACTCAAAGAATACTTCCAAAGCTTTAATCAGGTAGTTGCTCTCCTTCATCCACAGGTTGACTTATCTCTGCACAGTCTTTTTGTTTTGATGGGGACAGTTTTTCATGATACAAATTTAATAATATAATCAAGATGTTTCAATAATATTCCCACAAGTTTTCCTTTAAATGTTTTGCATAGCATTCAAAGTACAGCTTCCAGCATAACTTTATCGCCAATAGTACTGCTAGATTTTATCTTAGAAAATAAGGTGACGAATGTATACACTGATGCCTTGTTTGCCTGCTGGTGTATGCTATTTTCCTATGGCAGCTCTTGTGTGAAATTGCTTAAACCATCATCTCAAAATTTTAAGTTTATTCTTTGACTCAGAAAAGTGGAAGAACTTTTAAAAAACTGCACAATGTATTTATTTGGTAGCATCGCCAATATCCACCTGGAAGTTCTACTTTTTCCTGATTCTTTAAGGAAATTGTATTTTAAAAAATATGTATTGTCATTTATAACAGGCATAATGAATTTCTAATGGATAACACTATGTATTCCTTAATTTGGAAAAAAATACTTTTAATTAAGCGGCTGGTAGCTTTCAGAAGAGTTTACACCTTTGCACAGAAATGATAGTTATGGTGAGGTCAGGTGTGCTATTTTGAGGGTCAATGTTGCCATTTTCCCACAAAAACAAATGTTAACAAGGTTTAAATAGAATAATATTTTCTATTTTGTAATTATTTATTAAGAAGCAGTTTTCAGGATTGATGTCAAATACTGTTCATTTATTGATTTAAGAAATGTCCAGTGAGTTTATTAACCTTATTTGTCTTTAAGTTTTGTCACTTAATTTTATTGGAAAAAAGCAAAAATCTAAAATATGTCTGTCAGAAGAAATACTTTATTATTGTATTTTCTTCTTCTAGCTTTGCCTCATAAATATTCTTTTAAAGAATGCCACAGAGGAACCAAGTGAAGCTTCAAGGTAAAATCCTGAATGAAACAAAACAAAATATTACAAAATATAATTAAAGAACATATAGTATATTGGTGAAAGAAAGACATGTCTGCTGTCCAAGGTAAAAATTATTTCGGCTCAAAGTAAATTACAGACAAAAAAGTAAAGCCAATGGCTCACAGAAGAGGGCAAAAAGTAATTGTAATTTCATTGTCCTTACATGTAGAATAAGACCCTTAACATCATAAAGCTAGACTATAAATATAAAAAATGAATACAACTTTGGCAAAAGACCAAACATTGCTTTTTGTGGCAGAAATGTTAAGGCTTGCATTTAGCACTAAAACAAAAAAACAAAAGAAAAACATTTACTCTAAAATAGAGACAATCTGAACCTTATGCATGGTGATTATTTATAATTCAATTTAAAGACCCTACTACTGTAAGAAAATATAGATAACTTTGTGACTTATCAAAGTAATTTTTTTTAAGGTATTTAGCCCTTTGCTGTCTTGGGCTTTGGATATGTGAAGAACTTGTGAACTGTACCAACCATCCTCAAGTAAAAGACGCAATAAATGTTTTTGGTGTGACACTAAAGGTACAAGCAGAGCAAATGATTTTAAGTGTATTCAACTGTGTGGGCTGACCAAAAACAAAGAGTATTTACTTAGAATTCTTTAAGTTATTCAGAAGGCTCATTTATTTGGTCTATTATTAAGTTTTTGAAAATATCAGAAACATTTGTCATTTATTAGAGACAGTGAATTATGTATTTACAAATTATTTACTATGAATAAGCTTTTAGAGCAACAAGACTTCTGATATCTAAATAAAACTGTTATAATTTAAGCTTTTGTAGAGTTCATAAAAGCCTTGGGATGATGTACCTGGATTTTTTATATACTCATTATTTGTTGAGTTACAGCATAGCAAAAAGAATTATGTAATTCTATTAAAATAATAACTAATTTCAGTTTCTCATGTTTAAAAACAAAGCAAAAAAACTTCCTTGCCCTCTGTGACTGAGATTTCTTTTTTTTAGCAAATCGGTTTAGCATAGTAATTCTATTAGGAACACAACTGTTTTGAGAATGGTTAACTCCATTCCTTCTTAAGGTATTCTAAGGAAAATAGCACTTAGCACCTTATATACCACTTCATAGTGTTTTACAGCAGTGGTCTCCAACCTTGGCAACTTTAAAACTTGTGGACTTCAACTCCCAGAGTTCCTCAGCCAGCAAAGTTGAAGTCCACAGGTCTTAAAGTTACCAAGGTTGGAGACCACTGTTTTACAGCATTCTAAGCTGTTTACAGAATCAAATGGGAAAAGCCACCTGCTGGCCTAAATCACGGTTGATTGAGATTGTAACATCGTTTACCCTTGGATATAAAGTCACATAATGTAGAGAGGCCAATTTAATGTTACTTTGTTTATTAATGTTAATTTATGTAATGATAGTGAGAAAGAAATTTTTAGAAATACAGCAAACCACTTGTGATGGTATTGGTTCTTTATTTCTTATTAATTTGTTTTTCATTTTTGCAGTTTTCTAACAAGCAGATTGCACAAGCAGCATGTGATATCTTCCAGTTGTTGACATCTTACTGGGAAAAACTACAGAAATACAACATTTCTCTACCTCAAAAAATTATTGAAGTATGTTTCATTTCCAAAATAGTTATATATGGAAATTGGTATTTGTTTATAATGCTTGCTTTTTAAGTGAAATGTAATGCCTTATTTGGAGCAGACACATTTTAATCCTCCTATGCTAATGGAGATGCTGTGCACTTCAGTAGCTGTTTAAAATAATTATAAAATGTTTTTAGAAAACACAAACCACTTCATGTTCTATGTCCCTCTCAGCAGATATAGCACTAGTAATTCTGTAGTGGTGTATTTGAGTCCTCTCTCCCTCTGCTGCCAAAGCCATCTGGCTGCAATTTACTACAAAGCATATAAGCTAATTAGGGTTTATTCTCTTTCTAATAACCCACAAAATATGGTGCAGGAACCAATATTTTGCTGGTTCCATTTTTAAATATACCTATTTCAGAAATTACAATGGAGGTTTTTTACAGTTTTCTTTTATATCTTAATCTTTAAAACATTGTAAAGAATTATTAGATTAATTAGTTCTCTACTTGGAACTTCAGCTAGATTTTAATAGTGCTAGCTCTTTCTAGCCTTTGGACATTTCTAGAAACAGTTCATTCTCATTTTAGTGGCAGTTGCATCTACTTACAGATTTTTAAAGTTATATTTCTGTCTCAGGGTTTCATGACAATGAATTGCATCCAAATCCTTCCTTTCTGCCAAAAGTTAATTTGGTATTTTGTCATACCAAACTTTGCCTCCTTCCTTCTGGAGGACAATGAATTTAGTTCATTCTGAGGACCAGTGCTGATACGTTGCACATAGATTTCTTTAGATCAGAATATCTGCATTTAGAAAGTTGGGAACTTATTTCTTAATCTGCCTTCTCTTCAGATTGTATAAAACTTCGCCTGCTTTCATTTAACAGGAGAATGTTGGGCAAAATTTATGCAAGTCCATCATTTGCAAACATTCCAAGTATATCAAAGCATCAGAAATTAAGTGTCAGAGGAATCTTTACTCATTTCATTAGCCAGGGATGAGATAGTCTACTATCTTTGGGACTGCCTTTTCTATTTTAGCTACTCATATGTCCATTCACACAATCATTATTCATTATAATCATATCATCAGCTACTGCAACATTGATAAAAAGTTTCTGCAGGATGTTCTAGGGCAGCGATGCTAACCTTTTTTGACTCCCATGCCAAAAGCAGGGGGGGCATGCATGGGCATGCCATATCCATAATGCTATGCGCGCAGCATCAACACCACCAACCCAGCGCATGCATGTGAGCGCGACCAGCGCCCCCTGCTTTTAGCATGGTTTTATTCGCACTGCCTAGGCTCCAGAGACTTTCTAGGAGCCTAGGGAGGGCAAAAACAGCCCCCCTGCCCCCCAGAGACATCAGGAGCTTCCCTGAAGCCTCCAGAGGGCGAAAAACAGATCTATGGGGAACTCAAAAGTTTGGGAATGTGACTTTCGGTTTGCTGGTAGGGACGGTTTTTGCCCTCCGGAACGTTCAGGGAAGCCTCCAGAGGGTGAAAAATGGGCCTACGGAGAACCCGGAAGTCTGTTCCTGAACTTCCGGTTTGCCCATAGGGCCGGATTTTCGTGCTGAAAAACGGCCTCAAAAGTAGGCCAAAGTTGGCTGGCCAGTGTGCATGCACGCTGGAGCTGACAGGGCATCACCTTGTTTGCCTTAACAAATGGCTCTGTGTGCCACCTGTGGCACGTGTGCCATAGGTTTGCCATCATGGTTCTAGGGCTTTAAGCTGATCTTTGCAAATTGAAGAGATTTAGCTGACTGCAAATCTGTGAAGGAAAAGAAAATCGCATTAGTACCAAATTTTCTTTTTCCTCTTAGAAACCTTGATAATCATTTTAGGCAATAGAGTTGAAGAAAAAAAGGTAAACGGTAAATAATGACAAAGTAATAATTCATATTTCACTTATATTTTTGAACTGCCCTATGCTTTGACTGGGAAACTAAATATTTCTGTAAATTTATTTTAAAATTGCTTTGTCACAGGTCCTTGTTGCCACTATTGCATTTCTGTTACCAAGTGCAGAATACTCTTCTGTGGAAAGTGATAAAAAGGTGTGTAATGATTAGATGGCTTCATTTTGTCTCAATATTGCATAGTTAGCACGAAGAGCTAATGTTTAAATTGGACAATTTGGCTTGTATAATTGATAATTGCTGTTTTCAGGGAAGAGAGCAAATTTCAGCTTAGAGTTCAAATAGATTATCGGTAATAACTTTAGTGTTGATGAATGAATGGTATTTGTTCATAGATTTTTCAGATCATATTCTTTTGATTGCATATCATATATTTCCTGGTAAATTTAATTTTGTTTAATCAGGTTTTACAACTTTTCTAAGTGTAACTAATATTTGGACATTTTTCTGTTTTAGTTTATAGTCTCATTGTTACTTTGTTTATTGGATTGGTGCATGACATTGCCAGTGACGATACTGTTGGAGCCTGTATTTACTTCCAATTTTGAAAATCAGTACTCTTCTAATACTCCATTGCTTGATTATATTTATAGGGTAAGCATGAATGGTCGTACCTAAATACTTCACTTCCTGATAACTATGTATATGAATAATAACATACTGAGTCGAAACACAATTACAAAAAAGCCATTAGTTTTGATTGATGAACTACGCCAGACTTTGTGTACAGCTCTCTGAGATCCTGCCCATATTGTTACACCAGTTTTGTCTTTAACATATGTGCTTTGGACATGATTAATTCCTTTCGATTGCTCTTGTATAAGATACATTTTCAAATGTATCGTTGTCCCATTTATTTTCTATATTCATGTATTTCAAATGTGAAATAGAACAAGTTTTCAGTATCATTTCAATTCCTTATTTGAGATTAGTTTAGTTTAGTTTAGTTTAAATTTATTTATAGGCCGCCCTTTTCCCTAGGGGGACTCAGGGCGGCTTACAACATATAGGGAGGGAATACACACAA